AGTCAGCAAAATATATAACACTGTTCTAGTGGTTTTTGGATATTTTAATAAAAAAATCTTACATATTGCACCTTTAAGGTAAGTATCACTGATACCAATACTACTAATGTCTCTGAAGTTTTTTTTTTTAAACATTCTTCGAAACATTTGGGATAATGTAAGTACACAAGTCAGCAAAATATATAACACTGTTCTAGTGGTTTTTGGATATTTTAATAAAAAATCTTACATATTGCACCTTTAAGGTAAGTATCACTGATACCAATACTACTAATGTCTCTATGAAGTTTTTTTCCCTAATATTTCACCATTGACTATAGCCATTCAACATTACAGTATTACTAAGAGCTATTAATTTTAACATTTACAAGACTTTAAAAAAATAACTTCTAATTTAAGTGAACTTAAAACAATCTTCGCATAAACCCATTATAATAAATGTCATATTTAGGATCTGACACACATGCTTGTAGTTTCATTCACGCTTTAATATGAAATATATAACGGCTAAACAGTACAGGACAATTTGTTTTTACTGACATATGGCCTGACAACATCTCATCTGGCTGCAGTTCTACTGTTCTAGTTGTTCTACTGAATCTCCTCGTCACCTGTACCATTTCCGCGCTCGTTTGACTAGCTCCTGGCACTGAGGTGAAGTGGAGTGCGTGTCTGAAAAGTCTCCTGTTTGATGTGTTCATAAAGACTTTCTGCGTCTAAATAAATGCAATTCTTGTCAAGAAAAAAAGAGACAGAAGCAGTTGTGAGTGGGGTGGCCAACTCAAGCGCCGCCCCTGCGTAAACCTCGTTAAATATTTTTAACGTTGTTAAACTGGAAAAAGTAATTAAATATTATTAATGTTAAATATTTTTAACGTTGTTAAACTGGAAAAAGTAATCACCTGCGTTAACACGCTAATTTTGACAGCACTAGGTTTTTTAGAAGTTAGCTTGTGTGTTTCGATAAAGATAATTTTTCCCTTTATCTCACAGAGGCCATAAGAAAAGAAGCAGCTCTCGATCCAGGTCACCAAGGCGGAGAGCCCCGTCACCATCGCCGTCTAAAAGGTTTACTGTGCGAGACAATTTGTGTCTGACATTATTGTTTGATCAGACTCATTATTAAAATCTTAATCTCTTCTGTATATTTTCAGAGGCAAGAAAGATAAAAAGAGGGATAAAGGACGGGACAGTAGCAGGGAAAGGACAGAGAGCTCAATGTCCAGGAGGAAAAGCAGGGATTATGAACATAAATCTAAACCATCACTGGTTTGTCCAATTTATATTTCAAACACACATCTCATTTATATTTACACATTCAGTTTCATTTATGAAACACACGCAAAATGAATTTGTATTGGTGATTTGGTGCAGTAATTTTGGTTTGAGGTTACGTAAATTAACACCAACACAAATACTCTGTGACTTATAATGTTAATAGTGCCATGTAAGTGCAGTCACTTTATTCATATTGTGGTTTTCATGAAACTACGCTATTACCAGGTACAGCTAATCTCTGGAGGCGTGTGGACTGATGGTTAGAGCAGTGTGGTGCTAATCAGATTGTGGGTTTAGTTATGGGAGAACAGCTAGTGTCAATATGTCTTCTTCTGACTAATGTCAATTTCTTATGTATTCAGCTTGCTGGATTAATAACCAGTTTCCATTGATACTATTATATTGTATTGCTATTATATTTGAATGCTGAAGTGATAAATGGAAACTCTACTGTATACCTCTAATGCTCATATTGAGGTACTCATTTCTCCCCATGCATCTCAAAGAGCTCACTGTGCGTGTTTAGTTTAAATAATTTGCACAACGTAGCTCAGCTGTATCTCAGAGTGCTGCTCTAGTTTTATAGATAAGAAACAGGTTTATATGCATTTATGTGACTTTTATAAATGTGACCCTGGACCACAAAATCAGTCTTAAGTCGCTGGGGTATATTTTTTAGCAATAGCCAAAAATACATTGTATGGGTCAAAATTATAAATTTTTCTTTTATGCCAAAAATCATTAGGATATTAAGTAAAGATCATGTTCCATGAAGATATTTTGTACATTTCCTACCTTAAATATATTAAAACTTAATTTTTGATTAGTAATATGCATTACTAAGAACTTCATTTAGACAACTTTAACGGCGATTTTCTCAATATTTTGATTTTTTTTTCACCCTCAGATTTCAGATTTTCAAATAGTTGTATCTCGGCCAAATATTGTCCTATCATAACATATGGTTTTGTGGTCCAGGGTCACAAATATGATTTATCACATGAATCATTTGCATTGGCCAGTAATGGACTTAAAATGCAAGAAATTTAATAAATTATGGTTTGATAAAGTACTGAACGATATTATAATATATATTCAAAACTTTAGGGTAAGATTTATTTTATTTAGTTTGATCAGTAAAATGTATGTTAATGTTTTTGAAAGAAGGCTCTTGTTCACCAAGGCTACATTTAATTGATCAAAAATACAATAATATTAGTAGGTAAAACAGTAATATTGTGAAATATTATTACAGTTTTCTATTTTAAAATGTAATATATTCCTGTGATGGCAAAGCTGAATTTTCAGCAGCCATTACACCAGTATTCACTTCAGTGTCACACGATCCTTCAGAAGTTATTCTAATATGCTTATTAGCAATGTTGAAAAGATCTGCTACTTAATATTTTTGTGGAACCCATGCTACTTTTTACAGGATTTTTTGATGAATAGAAAAAATAGCATTTAGGTGAAATATAAATAGTTTGTAACATTCTAAATGTCTTTCCTGTCACTTTTGATCATTTTAATGCATTGTTGTAGAAATTCCCCTATGCACCTGACCTAAGTTTACCTGTGGGTGTCTACTGGCAACACCCAAAGCGTCAACATTTACAAAGTTTATACTATAGCGTGTTTACTGGCGACAACACTATCACTTTGAACACAATCACTCAGGACTAAGATCTTTAGTGTTCCACTAACCTGTTGCGCAGCAGAAACCAGACAGACTCCAGACATCACGGCTGGGAGGACCTCATACCAATCGCAGAGAATCCCTCCGACAAAAAGAACACATTTTGCTGAAATATAATTGGTTCTTCATATGTGCAATTCAGCAAACCTCCTCTCTGTTACCAGCAAAACAAATTTGGTGTTTGATTACTTCAGCTTGTTACTCATGTCATGGATTTGTGGTTATGTTTATATTCAGACAAATGTCTAGATGCCTTGTCATTGCACAACCTTTATTGCAACTCTGGCCTAAGTGCTGGGGACATGGGATGCTTTCAGTCAGATTTACTCTTGTGTGTCTTTTCCTGACTCACGGTTTAATTTTTTTCAGATGGAGAGGGGCTACGAGCCGGCAGACCATGAGTATGACAGTGACATGGATGGGTCGGGTTCTGTGGGTAGTGACGACAGATCTCCTCAAGCTCATCTCAACGGCAGCTATAGGAGCACTTACGCCGAGGAGGAGGATCTCTCTGCAGCTGAGTGATTCACGTGTACCCATAATGCCAAGAACAGTGATGCTGTCTGGAGAGCACAGCATCATGTATGATACTGTAACACCTGTCACTCCTGTTGAAGTGCTTTCTCTTGCGTCCATTGCTGTGTGATTGTAGGCTTCTGAAAACATTTTCTACTGCTGTGAATATGCTACCTGTCATATGATATTCATATGGATGAAAATGTAAAGTTTTGGATAGATCTTTATTGTGCTGAGAGATGCGGTATACTGAATGAAGGTGCTTTTGTTGAGGTCACTTTTTTTAATCAGTTTTGCATTTGTTGTCTTTTGCATGTAACTTTGTGTTTACATTCTTGTGGGAAGATGTTGTTTTATGCTATTTTTTCTCTTTTCGGTCCATCTTACTAAAACAAGCCATTATTAGTGTGAATCTAAAAAAAAAAAAAAAAGTTATATTTTACCAATGACGTCATAACCCCTCGATTTCCGGTTTTGTTTTGTAGAAAACATGGAAACACCAAAGACGCTTTAATATGTTGTGCGTTTTAATAAACCGGTGATGACCGCAGAGAGTAGCATTATAACAGAACTTTCAAATGTATCTAGTATGATAAAACAGCGCTGCTTTTTTTTTCCTACGCACGACCGGAAGGAGCGGAAGTGGTCGACTGTGGCATAATAAAAGCTCCGCTGCTTTTGAGACATGTGTCACACTCGTTCAGCGGCCTCGTTTCGCTTCGACGGCTTACCGCCTCACTCTGCTTCATACTGCTACGTTAATAAATCAAAAGTTACGCCTTCTTTCTTTGCGTGAACATTTGGGCGGTGTTATCTTCCCACATCGTGACATAGACATGGGGGCGTGTTTGAATGAGGCGTTTTAGGAGGGCGTGGATGACTCTTAACTTTTATAAAGAATATCTCTTTGGGTTTGAGACTTTAGTCTTTGCAACTTTAGGGATCTTATCTATTCACGAACAGCTTGTAACACTCCAAAGAGAAAGGAAAACTTGAAATTGCATCATATGACCCCTTTAATTTTACTTATTCACATTAAAGTGGAAAAGGAGTTGCTTAATTGTGATGAAAATAATGCCAGAAATTGATTTTGGGGTATCTTGAGATTCACCCACTCTACCTGGTCTTTTCCATCATTTCTATTTACTGAGTTAAAAAACAAAAATACATTTAGTACATGTGTATTATAACACTCCAGGGCCCCGTTCTTCGTACGTCGTTAACTCAGTTAGCTGGATTTGATTGTTGACGATTCGGCATGATCTTGGATTGTTTGGTTCTTCGAAGCTCATCCCGGAGTTGCTGTCATAGCAACAGGTCCCTGAGCTTAAACCTGCTGGGGTGCAGGCTTATTTCATGTAAACAGGATTAGATTGCATCTTTGTAAGCAGAATTGATACTTAAAATCTGTCCCAGCCACTGCTACTTTATTAGAAGAGTACCCTACTGATCCAGGGACAGTAATTTACAATATTCATAATTTAAATATTAATTAAAAAAATATTATGTTGTGTAGTCATCATCTATAACACTATAGACACCGCCAGGTTTACTCTTTGAAAAATGTATTCGTGATTAAATAATTTCTTTCAAATTGTATTGGAGTCTTACACACATGCTATACAGTTAATCTGAGCGTGCATTAATTGATGACAGATGACAGATATTATGGGAGTGGCTTGATGGAGCGCAGGAGATGCAGATAACATGATCTTGACCCTTAAGAAACTTTAATTAA